AACAGAGCATGCAAATCACTTCTAATTACACAATTATATAGAAATACCTTACTTTTAAGCAAAAACATAATCCTTTTTTTTTCTTTTTTCCTATATATTTTATGGTCCAGTGAGCATAGCAGATGGATTTTTAACTGTACATGGTTCAAGATCAAAATTGAATACATGACTCAACTTGACTTGTAGAGCAATTTTGAGCCAAGTTTTGAACTATTTTCATTTATTTTTATTTTTTTTTATTGACACTTTTCTGTTGCTAATTTTCTTTCATTTTCATAATTCTTTTTTAATTCATGTAACTCTTATAGATATTTCTAGTTTTGTTTAAAATGTTGGTCATTCTCTATGGTTTATGCTGACCAGTACTTGTCTATTTTCCAGCCATCTTTAAGTGGATTCAGGACTTGTTGAATAGTTTAAATGTTTTTTTTTTTGTTTTTTTTTTTAAATAAGGCATTACATTAATATTCTTTATATTAATAAACCATTACAAATTGTATTAAGAATTTTAGAAGATTTGTTCAAACCTTGTCATGCATGGTGCCAAACCCATTCAGAAATATCTAAACTGTCAGTTGTATACAGCTTTATAAGAATAATGGCGAAAAAAAGGCTTTGTGCAAGTAAAGCCTGAGGGTCTTGGCAAAGATCACCCTGTTTTGTGGACTGGCACTACAAAATCATAAAAAATTGTTAGTACCAAATAACAGAAACCACATCACTTGAGGACTACCAACAGCAGCAACAACTAAAATGGATAGCACATGTAACTTTCAGAAAATAATGACATAATCAAGATGTTGACATTCCACAGCACATCAAATAGAATGTTTGGAAGGAATTAGAGGATACATTTTCCCCCTTCTCTTTTAGTGTGCTGTATTATGCTACTAACATTTTTTTGGATGACATTGCATATGAACCCAGTCTAAGGTTGATTGCAAAGATTTGTGAGATTAATGCATTTTCAATGCTAGGGCTAATTTTGAAGTCTTAAATCCAGCACACATTAGTGATTTCAGTACAAAAAACACCAATTCACTTCCTTGTATATCAACACCCACCCCTTTTCTCACAAATGGGTTTGTCTTGAGGACTCCCTACTAGAAGGGATGACATGCATACCTGAATAATCCTAATAATTCTTCCACTTTATCTTCTTTCTCTAATTCGTATATATATATATATATATATATATATATATAACATTTTTTGTTTTGTTAAAAAAACAGTGCTTTATACAAGGCATATTATTTCCTTTCTTAAAAATGTGATTCCATTGTGGGACAGAAATTTCTAGGCTTCAAAACTGGAACTAAATTTGTAAATTTAATTATAAAATATAAACTTAAAATCCAGAGTTTCATCCAGTCTTGAAACATAGAAATTTCTGTATCTGTTTATATTTCTGAGGTGAGGTATTATGTACACTATTTACATTATTCGGACTATTGTTCTCTCTTTGTCACCATATTTATTATGTTTCGGCCATTGTATGTTCCGGCCTTCTTTAGGTGGTTTGAATGTCGAACTGAACCCTTTTTTTCACTCACTGGGGTAGTTCTAGTTTCTACGTACCATGTCTAATGGATGTTGGTTATCAGTTATCTCCTGTTGATTCCCCTCTCCAAGTTCTCCACTGCTTTAACCAGTGATAGCAGTAATCAACATCAGCCAATATCAGCTGAGTGCCTCTGAGGAGTCTGTATTGAATAAGGGTCTCAACTTCACCATAACCATCAGGCGAGTGCCATACTGAGACATCATTGCCAGAGTTGAGGAGGTGGCCTTGAACTTCCCTCAGGCGGATGAACTGAGATGGAAGGTAAGACAGACCTTGGAGAAGACCAAGCCGTCCAGGTCAAACATCACGAAACTGGAGAGATTGGCGATCAGATCCCTACCAACAGACAAAGGCAATGCAACTGTAGTGACAGACAAATCAGATTATAGAAGAAAGTTGGAAGACCTCATTAGCAATGGTAGCTACAGCAAAGTAAAAAAGGATTCTACAATGAAAATGGAACACAAATTGTCACAGATACTAATCAAGAACAAGGATAACTTCACACCTAAGACGTATAGTCAGTTATTGCAGTGTTACACCAAGCTACCTCACATATACAGTCTCCCTAAGATTCACAAAGACGGTATTCCACTCGGGCTGATTGTTAGTTGCCAATGCTCTGTGTGCCACCCTCTGAGTTGCTTCCTTGTAGATATAATTGACCCATTGATCAGAAAGTCTTCATATGTCCGAAACTCCGCCCACTTCGTGGAAATAATCAAAGATGCTCCCATCCTATCCAACCAGATGGTGAGCTTGGAAATGGTGAGGTTGTTCACCAAGGTACCCTTGGAGGAGGCACTTTCAGTAGTCATACAGATTGGCCTCTGACTCTTCCCTGGAAGAGCAGACCAGTATTCCAATAAATAATCTGATGGAGATGTTAACTTTCTGTGCACAAACACCCATTCAGAATGAGATCACACACATATCGACAGTATGATGGCTTAGCAATGGGCTCACCATTATCACCAGCATTGGCGAATATATACATGGAATTCTTTAAGGAAATGGCATTAGAATCTATATTTCTAAAGCCAACTCTATGGTTAAGGTACATAGATGACACCTTCATACTCTGGCCATACCATGTGAACTCAATAAGACCTTCAATACAATTCACAATCGAGAAAGAGTAACAACACACTCCCATTCCTGGATGTTTTAATATCTCAAACAGAGCATGGGTTCAAGACATCCATATACCGTAAACCGATATTCACCGGACAGTACCTCAATTTCAACTCCCACCATCCATACAGCATAAAGAAAGGGATTGTCAGCTGCTTACAACACTGAGCAAAAGTGGCAACCCAGAGATATTAGATAAAGAATTGTTACGTTGTAGGGTACTACTTATACTGACCAACTACACTGGGTACATGGCAGCAGCCCCCAAAAACTGGGATAGGCGGGTACAAGAGGAGGAAGATAACAACGCTCAGAAAACAGTCTGCCTGCCTTATGTGAAGGGGTTATCAGAGAAAATACAAAGGATCTGTGGTCCATATAACATCAGGACAACCTTCAAAAGCTGAAGTATGGCTGACCACATATGGAGAGAAAAGGGAGATCACCACTTTCTGTGGGATCAGGTTGAGATAGACAAGAACACCATTGGAAAATTTGTAAACTTAAGGAATCAGCACATATGCTAGGCCACAAAAATCTCCTGAGCTGACCAAGCATAGAAATGAATACAATATGGGAACCAGTAATAAGGAGTGCCAGAGAAAAGCAATAATAATTAAAATTGCTATATGAGCACTGGTAAAAATGGTTGCTGAAGACATTAGGTTTATAATACACACACCTTTTGCCTATATGACCCTGAAGTATATCCAGATCAATATAGTATATATAATATCCAGAAATTCATACATGGATGTCCTCAAGGACACATGGCACAGTGGATAAAAGCATTAGTTAGATCCAAGGATGGGACCCAAAGAGTGTGAGTTAAGGTGGTGGAGAACTTGGACAGGAGAATTAACAGGAGATAACTGATAACTGACATCCATTAGACATGGAACTAGAACAGTTTACCCCAGTGAGCGAAATAAAGGGTTCAGTTTGACATTCCAACCACCTGAAGAAGGCTGGAATGTACAATGGCTGAAACATTGTAATAAATATGACAACAAAGATGAGGACAATAATCTGAATAATGTAAATAGTATAGAAATTTCTGTGTTGCGATGGAATCAAAAACAAAAAAGATTTTAACAACAAAAATCAAGTAAACCTACATAACCGGAAAATAAATGCACTAATAAAATAAGTAAAAAGGACCTACTCAATGTCTAGGTTATTAGGGGAGAGATAAATGATTCACAGCATTACATCTCAAAAGAATCAAAGTTTGTACTGTTACTTAAGTTCCATGATCGTCAGGCAACGTGTGTCTAGAAAAAATGTGTGTGTGTGTGTGTGCGCGCATACACTTAGTTGTTAATTTTGTCACTTACTTGAAGCAATTTCATTGTTCTCTTGAGTGGTAGTTTCAATATTACTCATCTTTACACTGGGCCTACTGATATTATATATATATATATATATATATATATATATATATATAGCTTTCTTATCTTACATGAATTGTATTATAGCATTATTGCCTGTTAACTTTTTTCCCTTCTCGGGTGTTTTGAAATTTTAATTCACACATTTTTTTTTTTTCTTCCATTTCCTAAAAATACACAAAACAACACCCAGTACAGTTGTCCCTCAATTTAATGGACTGGAGTAGGTGACTGTTCCACCTCTACTGACTGGAGTAGGTGACTGTTCCACCTCTACTGACTGGAGTAGGTGACTGTTCCACCTCTACTGACTGGAGTAGGTGACTGTTCCACCTCTACTGACTGGAGTAGGTGACTGTTCCACCTCTACTGACTGGAGTAGGTGACTGTTCCACCTCTACTGACTGGAGTAGGTGACTGTTCCACCTCTACTGACTGGAGTAGGTGACTGTTCCACCTCTACTGACTGGAGTAGGTGACTGTTCCACCTCTACTGACTGGAGTAGGTGACTGTTCCACCTCTACTGACTGGAGTAGGTGACTGTTCCACCTCTACTGACTGGAGTAGGTGACTGTTCCACCTCTACTGACTGGAGTAGGTGACTGTTCCACCTCTACTGACTGGAGTAGGTGACTGTTCCACCTCTACTGACTGGAGTAGGTGACTGTTCCACCTCTACTGACTGGAGTAGGTGACTGTTCCACCTCTACTGACTGGAGTAGGAACAATAGGCATGCCAAACTCTCCCCCTAACAGTGGGAGGGGAACCTGGATATAACGTATCTGCATGCAATCCAATGCCTTTTTTGCATCTGTACTAATGCACATACACCACAACACCTAAAGATGAATTATTTTTTTCCTCTGATGTTTACCTGTTTATACTAATTCCTCTGTATTTACTTCTTAGGTCGATTTGGTAACCAAGCGGAGCAGTTTCTTGGGAGTTTATCTTTTGCAAAAGCCCTAAATCGCACATTTGTCATTCCGCCTTGGGTGGAGTATGAACCATATGTTGTAGGATCTGTAAGTTCTGAAACTTCTTATTTGAAAAAAAGAAAAATATTTTCAATAAAAGCCTGTCGTACTGTTTATATCCATATCAACATACACACACCTTTTCATATTTTGCCTATGTGACCCTGAAGTATATCCAGATCAAATGGTGTCACTTCTGTTTCTCATGCTAATGATGTCAATTATTGCAATTATCAGATTTTTTTAATAAAAATTGTATAACATTATAGCATTAATTTAAATATAGTTTTTGAAGTTGACTTAAATTTTTTTTTTTTTTTTTTTTCCTTTAAACACATCTAATTGTGAGTACTGCCTGTATAAATATGGTAAGGTAAACATACATGATCCTTGATCAAGCTTTGCACCGACTGGCCAATTACCCAATATTACATTTCAATCCTCAATCTCAGTGTTCTCTGAAAGGTGGGAAAGGGTGTGTTGCATGCTCACATGTAGGGCCCCTCCAAGTTTTTCATTTCAAATTTTCCTTGATTCTGTTTCCACTTTTGGGAAATTTCATTTTTTATTTTTTTATTTTTTCCATTCTTTATAATATTTTATGAGAAAATTGCAATACAATATGTTATAATTATTATTAAAACGGAAAACAAAAATATGATACAAAGTTTTATTGCATATAAAGAAATAGAAAATATCTACAAATCTTTTTATGTTAAAATCTAAATCCAAAAATAAATTGTATGTAAAAATAAAAAAATAAAAAAACTAGACAATAAAACAATGGAATGTTACAGTACATAATTATCTTTGAGGTCGAACTTTTAATCAGAGATTCCTTCTTTAAGAACACATTTAAAACACATTCAAATTGTTTGTTTTTTTAAGTAAAAGTATTTAGATTGATTTATAATTATTGATTCATAATATAAAAATCACATTTAAAGTATCAACAGCAAATAACTTAAATTTCAATAATAAATATCTGAATAAAGTCAAACATTTTGACTAAAATTTTACAAAACAGTAATTAAATCATAATAACTGAATCTTTGTAACAAAATATCAAAAAACATTAGTAGGCATATTATAATTCAAAATTTAAGTAAAACAACTTATCCCAAGTTAAAATACTGCTCAAATTTAAAATTGTTAATTTCTTAATTTGGGAAATATCTACTCTTCAAATCTCTTCTCTAACTTTCCATTGTAATACAACATTATGAGTTGCTTCATGTTCTCAGGAGTAAGACTTTCACATTGTTTATTAAGTAAATTTTTACTGAGAAAATGAATGTTCAGCATCTATGCTGGTAACAGGCATCCATATGACCTTATTGGCAATTTGTTCCAGAAGAGGAAATCTGCTCTTATTTTCATTCCAAAATGATGGGATATTAAAAGAATTTGGTAAATCATCTTGGTAATTCACATACATTTGGAATTGTTCAAGAAGATCAGTAGAAGGGCATTGCAAGTCCTTGATGGCTACAAAACTGTCTAAATCATGGCCTATACAGGGTAGCTATCTAGGATCAAACAGGTGAGCTGCCTTGTAAAAGTTATACACAGAGTGGGTATCCATGTATATATATTCAATTTTGAAAAAGATGTGCTGAAAAAAATCTTGGAAATTTGAGATAATCTCTCCCTCTCTGTGTTTTCTAGTTCAGGCAGAAGACTATCAGTTTCTAGGCCAAATATTAATTTTGACGTACCATTATGCAAATACTGTTTTACATGCTCCATCATGTTATATACAACACATGCAAGTGGAGACTTAGTTTCTTCTAAATTTGTCAAAGCTGTTATTAAACAAGTGCAATACTCATTTTAAAAATACCTGATTTAGGTGCAGATTATGGTAAGAGTCATGATGTAGTCGACCATCATCTAATAATTCTAGAATCCTATCTACTGCAAGGCCATGGCTCTTTTCTTGCTTTATGAATGATAATTGGCTGCATTAAACCAGGAATTCCATCTTGTTGCCACTGATACATGAGGTAGTTTCACTTGTTCCTTAGGCAAGGAACCTTCAAGCCATTTTAAGTATCATTTTTTTCCAACTAGGCTTTTAAAAAAAAAAAAAAGTAGTGAACTGGGTAAAATTATCAAATGCTGGCCAGTGTGAAAATACTTCATCAACAAGATTTAAAATATGTGCTAAGCACAACACATGGCAACTGTTAACAAAGACATTTGACAACACTTCCTTATGAGCTTTTTTGCAATAGGCTGCAGAATCTGTTATAAAGTCATTCCTCAAATGCAATATCCACATGAGTTACAGCTCGGATGTGTGCCTGACTTACAGTTTGATGATTGCATTCTTCCAAGGTTACAACATTAGTGAAAAATGACTCCCCATGAATGCTTGCAATTACATTCAAAATGCTGGGGTCATGACAGTCAGTTGTTTCATCTGTTATGATGTTGGCTGATTGATTAGCAAGCTTGGCTTTCAGGGCAGCAAAGTGACAAGCAAACAATTTTGGTAGATGAAGTTGCCTAAAACAATTGACACTTGGAATAGCATCACCTTTATAATGAATGTTCTCATTTTGTCAATTTTGTGTAGAGGAATATCAGACAAAGTGCACATTTTCAAAAAATCCAGGACAAAATCATCTTATACCTTTTTACTCTTCAACAAAATTATGATTGTCTTCTGTTTCAGTTGAGCCAACTTTTTTTGAAGACTTTTTTGTCATTTGAGTTTTTGATTTGATGTGATCTTTGATTGTGTCAACCCTAAAAATGTCAACAGTATGGAAACAATTTCCAAAATAACATTTTCTTCTGCATAAAAGTCATCAAGAATTTGCTCTACTCTGGCTTTTGCACAAATTTTAGATACCAGGGTCTTTTTTTTTTCTGAGAGGAGCAGGCTAAACTTTTTGAGGTTGATTCACTATATTGACCTTATTCAGTCATCTTGGCAATTTGTTGTTTATTCATACAACTGGTTTAGATTACAAAATATAAATAAAATATTAAAAAAATAATCACTGACAATGTTATTAAAGAATATTTTGTTCAATTTAAATTTGTTTACAATGGTGAAGCACTGAAGATTATGCAATTATTAATCTGGGAGAATCACTGTGTGATGGTAAGCTTAAACAAGCCAGTCATTTCATAGAATGCTGTTTTTGGAAAATTTTTTTTTCTTTATTTCTAAATTGTATGGTAGGCATGTGATAGCTTTTTATCATATTCATAATTTTACTTGTAAATTGTGTGAGGCCTAAAGGAAATGAATTTCTTAAACTTATTGGTTTGATCTTTGTGTGTCTCTCTCTCTCTCTCTCTAGCCCCCTCCAATTTTGACATCAGCTATTGTCTGTCTCCCATTTCTACTTTAACAATGGATTTTGGTAGGCATGACAAAGCTGGGACCTGACTTTCATCTGGTTTGCAACATACTGTTTCTTAAAATTATAAGATATTTAAAAATAGACCAGCCAACATATTCTCAAAAAAAATCAACAACCCACTTTTTTTTTCTTTTTTTTTATGTAAACATTTTTATTTTTTGGGTTTTATAAGGAAAATACAAAGATTTGTAAAAACAAATTTTAAGGAAATAACTGTTATGTTGTTGTTATATTAGGATGTTTAACAAAATCGAAGAAAAAAAAAAAATGAAAAAATTAATTTATTGAAAATTACATTAAAACCACAGATTCCATTTAAGATTAACGATTCTGTGATTCCATGATCGGAAAATTTATTCCTCTACAAATGGTAACACAATGAAAGACAAATACCACTTTGCAAAATAAGACCACAAGCCCTGTTTCCGATATCATACATTGATGCTTTGCTTAGGGCTTTGTCTACTCACCTGGGTGGGTAGGTAGGTGATACTTAGGACAACTTCTGCTATGTCAGCTCTTTCCCCATACCAACTCCTTGACCATCTACTCATCCTGACATGTGACTGGCAATACAAAATGGAGACTCCAGGCCATGTCCATCTCTCAGCAAAGACAGACTAAAACTCTGGTAGATGGTATATTGGTCTTTGACTCTTCTTGCTTCAGCCGAGCAACTGCTACTGATGTGACTAGTTGGATGTACAGTGCCTCTAACTGGGACTCAACTTATATAAGACTGCAAATGAAAACCTCAGATTTCTGACATTGTGCCAGTTGATCTCCTTTTTCATTTATTTCTTTATTTTCTACTCACTTTGCTCATGTGGATTGCTGCTTTGAACCCTAGACTTCAAAGACTATCTTCCAGTTATTAAAAAAAGAACAGACACTTCTTACCCTGATAACATCATTTAAAGCCCATTTGGCTTTGTGTTCAGCTGGTCATATAGAGGACCTATTGTTCCACAGTAATAGTGTTCTTTCTCCTCATTAAAGTATTCTCATTCTTTTTCACTCCCAGTAACCCTTAGTAATAGTGTGTGTGTGTTTTCAACTGTGTATTCCGTTTATAGCTTTTTATAAAGTATTGTCAATATTTTTGCACATTCCTAATGCAAACCATCAACTATTCTAAAATGACTTGCCTCTTTAATGTTCAATTTTTCCATTGTTTTTTTTTTATATAATTTTTTTTTTTTTTTTTTTTTTTTTTTTATTTCTCAGCTTCGAGTCTCCTTTGACACTTACTTTCAAGTTGAACCCTTGAAACAATTTCACAGAGTGATCACAATGGAACAATTCATGGATAAACTGGCTCCCAAAATTTGGCCACCCTCTAAAAGGATCTGTAAGTGAAGTGAAAATCATTTCAATTTCTGATATTTGGCTCTTTGTATAAATATTTCTTTGGTTTAGTTTGGTACAAGGCCACAAATGTAAAGATAACTCCTTAAATATGTGAATTGGTATACAAGACAAGCTTGTTAAACATTGTAATAGGGTAGGAATACTCAAGTGTTTGGTAAATTTAAAAAAATTCTAGCAGGGGAAATTATTCAATTAATACTATATAGAATTATAGTTTTAATAATATTTCTTAGTATGAGCCAAAATATCTCCATGAAGCAATGTTTTGCTATTAAGATATTTAATTCAGTTATTGAACATAACATTCAATAATTGATTTAAACATTTTTTTTTCTGTGGTTGTCTCCCCTGTCCTGTGAGTTTTCTGACAAAATGAAAAATGACAACTATCTCAATAAAATAATAGGAAAATATAAAAAGATGTTGGGTATAGTCATCCCTTCTTTCCCTCCCTGTATCACTTCTTTTCCCTCTATTCTTTCCTTCTTCATTTCTGAATCCCTCCCTCCCGTCTCTTTTACTGCCCCCCCTCCCTCTCGTGTGTGTGTGTGTGTATGCTATTCTTATATACACTTATTTTAAACCAATGAGAAATGAATACAATATGGGAACCAGTAATAAGTAGTGCTAGAGAAAAGAAATGATTAACAACAAAAAATTGCAATATAAGCTCTGGTAAAAAATACAATAATAGAAAAATTGCAATATGAGCGCTTCTAAAAAAAAGTTGCTGAGACATTAGGTTTACAAGTCCCAAAAATTCAAGGACAAATGGCCCAGTGGATAAAGATTTTGGTTAGATCCAGTGACTAGACCGAAACAATTTCGGTCTAGTCACTGGATCTAACCAAAATCTACCAGGCCACAGCAGTGGTGAACCAAAACTTGGAGAGTTGAGTTAAACCAAGACATCCAGAAGAGGCACGGCATGTGGAACTAGAACAATCTACCCTGGTGGATGAAATGAGTTTGGTTCAAAATTCCAATCACCTGAAGAAGGCTGGAGCATACAACCTCCGGAACATTATAGATATGGCAATGAAGATGAGGATAATGGTCAGAGTAATGTAAATAATGCAAGTAATCATAATACCTCATCTCAGAGATATAGACTGATACTCATTTTGTTGTTTCCATGGCTTGCTGTTTCTCATTTTACAAGTATTTTATATATATATATATATATATATATATATATATATATATATATATATATATATATATATATATATAATTGTTTGCTCAGTTGAATACACGACCTTGGTTTTGACCTTACAGTCTCATTGTGCGATTTTTTAATTTTTTTTTTTTTTTTTTATTTTTTTATTTTTTTTTCATTATAAACTGACCACCTAACGCTTTAAAAAAAAAAAAAAAAAAAAAAAACCCAAAGAACGCTACGTTATTATTTTAAAAAATAAATAAACAAATGCACGATGATCAAGCGCATGGCATTAAGTGTAATAGAAAGGAGGAGGGTGTGGAGAGGAATGAAAAGAAGTGTTTGGTCGGTGTGTGTTTGTTTATTTTTGAAAATAATAATGTAGCATTCTTTGTGAGATTTTTTTTTTTTTTTTAATAAAAAAAACATTAGGTGGTCAGTTGATAAAAAAAATCACTCAATGAAACCATAAGGTCGAAACCAAAGTCATGTATTTCCTGATTTTTAAAGTTAAAAGCGCTACATGTTATTTTTACTTTTATTTTATTTTTTTTTCCACACAGAAATTGAGCACTTTTTTTAATACTGTTTCCTAGGTGGTTTCAACTCTAACCATTAATTCCTTTGTTTGGTAGTCATAGAAATGAGATAATATATATTCAAACACATTGTAAACTTTAAATACAAAAACGTAGTTGAAGATTTTCTAATTAAGAACATAATTTTCAAATAAAAGCAATTCACTTGGAATATATTTTGGGATTGGTGGTTACAAATTCAAGTAATAATCCTCTTTTTAAGATACTAATTGAATTTATATTCTTTTTCTTTCAGCTTTTTGTTATATGTCAAGGGCTTCTAAAGGATCAAATTGTAATGCCAAAGAAGGGAATCCATTTGGACCTTTTTGGGATCATTTTAATGTTGACTTTGTTGGGTCTGAATTTCATAGCCCTCTCAGTTTTGATATCAGTTCTTCGGGTGAAACAAAAATGTGGAAACAAAGGTAAACATAATCTTTGGTTCTTGGCACATACATACATTTTGTGTATGTGTGGAAATTTTTTGTGTGTGAGAGAGAGACATGGAGTTAACTATTCATGTAACTACTTGTTTATAAATAGTAGCATTTTCCACCAAGCCTTAATCAGATACTAACTGTGGGGATGGGGTATGTTTCAATTTTTTTTTTTATGACAGACCTCCATTTCTCTCCCTCACCCCAAAACAGCTTAAAAAAAAATCTTTAAAATCTTGTATGAAAAGTGGGTAGGCTAATATTTATCTCAACTCTACAGACTACCAGTAATTGTCTGTAATCCCATCATAAAAGATAAGTCATATGGTAGATGCTAAAATCTTATAATGTGAGTGTGTGTGCACATGCATGTACAGATGTATGCATTTATGGAATATTTGTTCTATAATAGATAATACTAAAATCTTGTATAAATATTTTCTCCAAAGGTACCCCTCATCCAAATTTCCAGTCTTGGCCTTTGTTGGTGCTCCAGGCCCATTCCCAGCTCATCAGAATTCTCTTGGTCTTCAGCAGTATATCCGATGGTCTGATAAAATTGAAAATGAAGCAAAGGACTTCATCCAAAACAAGTTACAAAATCTACCATTTATAGGCATTCATCTGAGAAATGGTGTTGACTGGGTAAGTAAATGTAAACCTTGAGAAGTTATGTGGAGATGCAATTTCCTTTGATTCCATAACAAGATGCTTTAATCTAGTCAGTCAGTTAAGTGTCATATGTGATACATGGGCAATCATTTATCTTTCAATACATGACTGACGAGGCAGATTTTTTTTCATGCAGTAGGTTGCCATTTTTTTCTGTGGTAGACTGGTTGCCAACCTAGTCTGTCTTGCTATTAAACCCATAGCTGGGGGAAGAGATAGATTCATACCTTTCCCAAAGGTATCTGTGCATAAATGAATCTAATGAACTCAGCTGCAATTCAAACTCAGTTCTGCGTTCTCACTCCGAACTGATATCCATTAATCTAGTATTAATTACTAATCATGAAGAAACACTTACAGTATTAGTACAAATTATACAATTGGTATTTTTTTTTTTTTTTTTTTTTTTTTAGAAGTGAGGTAAAGTTTAATTACCATGACAATATTTACTGAAAATTGTTTTAGTTTTCAGGAAGCAACATCTGCATATGCAGTAAATTCATTATAGCTACAAAGAAATCTACTTGTATCAGTGAACACTGGTATATATGGTAATAGGCAAAAAGCCAGAAATATGGTCTTTGTTGGTAAATGAAGTCCCAAAACATACATGCAGAAAAGCAAATTCCAATACCTGTATATCAACAAAAAAACACAAACCGAGCAGCAATATACCAATCAAATCAAGTATTTCTGTAAAATCTGGTTTTCTATGAAACAAGCAGCAAAATATTGTGCAATTTCATAAATTTCTTAATTTCTTTTTATTGATATCATGTTTGTTCACTTCCAGGAGTCCTAGTTTCATAGCTAAGCTCTATGTGGGGCACTGCTTCCTGGTGAACACCACTTTTTTTTTTTTTTTTTTTTTTTTTTGTGGTCTTCATGTCCCTCTCATATATAATACTTTTCAGTTATTGCAAATGACTGGCAAACTAAATTAACCACAATATATTTTTTTTTTTTTTTTTTTTTTTTAAATATACTTCCTGGAGAATTAGAAACTAAAAGATATTTTGTTGGTATCAATTATTCCAATTTTATTGTCCTAGAAGCTTGCTAACAGCTTTGGGAGTTGGAGCTACTGTCATATGGAACCACACTAGATTCTGATTTGGTTAGGCACCTAAAATACAGAGAGCTTAGCAGTCACATGTTAAAAAAAAAAAAAATTCAAATACTACCCCACTTAAGAAAAACAAGGACACATGGCACAGTGGATAAAGGCGTTAGTTAGATCCAGTGACAGGACCCAAGGCAGTGGAGAACTTGGAGAGGGGAATTAACAAGAGATAAGTGACATCCATTAGACATAGTGACATCCATATAGAACTAGAACAGTCTACCCCAGTGAGCGAAATAAAGGGTTCAGTTTGACATTCCAACCACCTGAAGAAGCCCGGAGCATACAACGGCTGAAATGTTGTGATAAATATGGCAACAAAGATGAGGACAATAGTCTGAATGATGTAAATAGTGTACATAATACCTCATCTCAAAAATATAGACAGATACTGAACAATTTTATAGGTTTTTTTATTTTTATTTTTCTTGTCTATACTTTAATCCCACACTAACAAGCACTTAGTAATAAAACTTTTTTTTTTCCAGAAGTCTGCTTGTTCTCATGCTCGAAGTTCCCCACAGATGTTTGCCTCTGCTCAGTGTACAGGTTATCACAATGAGCATGGCCGCCTCACCGAGGAAGTTTGTTACCCATCAGACAACACAGTTATAAGACAAGTAAAGGATACTGTAAAAAGACTTAATATCAAAGCTGTGTTTGTTGCTACTGACGATCGGGATTTGATTAGAGAAATGTCCAAGGTTATGAAAAAGGTAAGTTCTTGTCTCTCACCTTCCCAGATTCTTTTTATAACACAGTCTGCACTGTCTGTGTATCTTTTTTCTTTTTTTTTTTTTTTTTTTTAAATCTCACCAACGACCAAGCAGGAATTCTGTAACTTTTGCTATTTTTGTGCATATTCCTGCTTTACTTCCTGTTGTTTGGCTTCTACAACTACTAACATAGTCATTAAAAAACAATGGGGTTCTTTATGTATGGTTTAGGCTACTTTATTTGTGATCAGTGCAGTATCAGTGCTTTCTTATAACTTACACACTATGTGTGTGTGGAGGGTGTATAGATATACAGAAATAGATGACTGACTACAATAAAAATCCTGATTCCATTCTCAGCAAAAAAAATAAATTAAAAAAACTAAGCTAAAATACCACCTGCCTCTTAAAAATACACGTTAACAAACTAATCACAGCTAACAATGCAGAGATCAGATCCCTCAAACTCCACAAAATTGCAGGTGAGTACTATTATCCAGGTTACTTATATGTGAATGTAAAAACCCACGAACATGATACTCCGCTGCATCCCATAGTGTCATCATTCCCAACACCTGTAAATTAACTAGCAAAAACCCTAAACCAACTGATACTTTCATATTTACCTGATAAATATGGCATTCAATCCACCAGTGAATTCCTTGATGTACTTCAATTTAAAAACTGAATAACAACATCATAGCCTCCCTTTATTAAGTAGATTTCGGTCATTCATATATTTGAGGATGAATCTTTTTTTTCTTTTTTTTTTTTCCCCAGTAAACACAGGTTGCATTGGTTACCATGGCTGGAAATAGGTGTGTTTTTGGCGACAAAATTCTAATTTATTAGTGGCGTTCCTCTTTTAAGCATTAAGCTTGCCTTTTTTTTTTTTTTTTTTTTTTTTTTTTTTTTTTTTAACTTCTGTATTTCCACACCAATATTATATTTAGTTTATTTTAAATTTGAGCCTTAAATCTGTGTTTAATTTAGCGTTCCTCCCATGAGATCCAGTATATTTAAAAAAAAAAAAATCTAAACTAACAATTCGTGCCTGATGAATTGGTAGAACAACGAAACTTAAGTTGCATGTCAAACGTAGGTATATGCATATTTATTAATATATACTTCTTAGCTCTGTCTAACAACATTGAGCACTATTTTGTTTACCCCTTAAATTGAGTAAATATTTATTCACTTACCTGTGTATGCACGCTAATACCTGTGTATACAGTTGCTAATATCTAGTTATTTGAGATTTTATATATAATATATATATATATATATATATATAATTCAATACCCCATATGATATATGGCCATTTCGACCTGAACAGGCTTGTCAACACCAAGGAGTTAGATAAAAAAAATGAATCATAATGGTTTTATAAATAGGAAGAAAGAGGAGGGAAATTTACAACTAAGATAAACCTAATTTTTTGAATAACACTCAATTTAGATTAATTAATCCCACTAAATCTGAGCTAGGTATAATTTCAAAAAATATAATTAAAAAAAAAAATAACCGACAAACTATTAATTTCAGCTGGTGCCAATATTTGGAAAGATTCATTGGGTACCATCAAATGGTTTAATAATGTGAAGGACAGGAAAAGAGCAACGTTTATAAAATTCGATATCATTGACTTTTATTCCTCTATTTCAAAAGATCTATTAACTGACTGCATAAATTTTGCTAAGAACCATATGATAAGTGATGATGAAATCAATATCATATTTGCTGCCAGAAAGTCAATCTTATCACTTAATGACTCTACCTGGGTTAAGTGTGGGAGTAGCGACTTTGATGTTCAGATGGGGCATGTGATATATATATATATATATATATATATATATATATATATATATATATATATATCTCACACACACAATAGTAGGAATAAAAGCTTAAGCTTAAAATATAAAATAAAGGGCTCAATGATTGTTGATTGTTATTGCATGAAACATGAGTAGCAGATTTTGATATTGTATTAATAATATAATAATATATCATCTGTTGCATGTATGTTTCTTTGTGTCATGGTGGTTTTCCTTTTTATCCTCCTCTTCCTAGCTCTCTTTATTGACAACCAGTTGTACACTGAAAATTTTTGCTCAAACCAAATATCATTTTGTTTGTTAATCCATCTGCAGTTAAAAAATATTTATGATAAATTTTATTTTCAGGTAAAATTTGTTCGTGCCTTTCCAAGCAATCCACACCTGGATCTGGCCATATTATCCAAAGCTGATCACTACATTGGTAACTGTGTTTCAACATTCTCAGCTTTTGCCAAAAGATACCGAGATACATTAGGAAAGTCCTCATCTTTCTGGGCATTTGAAAACAATTCCAGGCACTTGGAACTCTGAAGATGAATAACATTTTACTTCCTTATTTCTTTTAATTGCAATTGCTTTCTTGGTGGGGGACCAAAAAGTATCTTTTTTTTTCTTTTTTTTTTTTTTTTCCCCCCTCTCATACTTTATCAATTTCTTTTACTTTTAAAAAATATCATTCTGTAAAGCATGAATGGTATGATAACCCAGCCAACTTAATATGCACTTTTTTTTTTTTTTTTTTTAAACTATTGTATGTGGGCGAGGAGTTCTTTATTCTTTCTGGGAAAGAAACTCCAAATGCATAACATTGGGAAAGAGTGAACGGAATTTCTTCCCTTTAACGAAATCCAAACACTTGTACAAACCTTTCGACCTGATTATTTATCAAATGTAATTCCAAAGGTAAAGTAATATCCCTTCTCTTAAAGGAATTCAGAACTTATTCACTTATGCATGAGTTTTAGTTTTTATTTATTCCTTCTTTCATTTCTTTTTTGAAGACCTATCATAAGTTTACTTATGAAAATAAACTGATAAAACTTACAAGAATACATGTACACAATTAGTGTTTTTTTTTTGTTTTTTTTTATAATCTGTATTATTTTAATTTATATTATTTTACTATGTTCTTTGTCATTGACCTTTGTCAGGTGTGTTTTCGGTGACCTCTTTTACCAACTGGATACAATAAGCATCTGAAGAAGACCCAAAATAATAATATATTGGAAATAACTTAAAATGGTTATCCCTATAAAAGAGTACTTGGATTCGGTAAACCTGGTGTAGGAGTCATAAAAAAAAAAGGCCATAATTTGCAAGTTTTTTATATATATATATATATATATATATATATATATATATATATAATTTTTTTTTTTTTTTTTTTTTTTTGCCATTAGTGAATTACTTTCATTTGCGCATGCAAATTATGGCCCCTGTTATGGTACCTTTTTGATTCTAGATTTTTACCTTGAATTCAGAATCTGTGATCACAGTATCTTCAGGTACTGTTAATAGTTTTACTGTGTGGCTTATCCTGGGTAACTTTACTGTTGTCCTTTGCATGCAACAAATTGAGGAAAGCTGAAAATCTACCTTATCAGTTCTTTGCTTTGATCTTCAGATGGAATAAACTCAAGTTTAGCATTTGTCTCCACTCGATACAATTGAAGCAATGTGTATACAACTTTAAACTGAATTCTATTATGTAAATTGTTCTATGCATACCAACAAAAGATGGCATGTTTAACTTGTGCCTAATCCTGCTGCCTTTATATTTTTTTTTCTCTTGTAAAGGACCCTATAATTTCTGGTTCCTTAAAGATGTGAAAACTTTATTCAAAACACTGACTATATAATGACTGCTCATGATTTTATCAAGTTTGTTAAATTGATTTTTTGTTATTGAAAATTGGTATCAAGGCCAATTCTTTTTATTCATATGCAGTGATGTTGATATTTACCAATTTTATGAGGTTTGTGGAAAGAAAAAAACACAACTTGGACACATTTGGTTATTTTTCTATTAAATTTCATAACTGTGTAAATTGGATTAATTATAGCCTGATGACTGACTACAAGCCACTTTGCCTATCTAAGTATATTTGTTTTAAATGATTTTACTGAATGACCATTTATAGAGAGTAAAAATGGTTTTTGTTTATGCATAATTGAATAATGTGTTTCATTTTGATGATTTGAAAGGAATTTTTTTTTTTTTTTTAACAGTATATTATGTTAAATTTTTAACTTTTTTTTTTTTTTTTTTTTTTTTTAACAAATAAAACTGGCTGCTTGTGTGGTCATTGTTTTACATTTTGTCTCTTGTCAATTTTTGCCCAAAACAAACCATGACATTTGTATGTCACAAAAACCCATATATATATATATATATAGTGTATATGTATGACTTGTTTTATTATACACTAATTAAATAATGCGCTGTTATGCAAACAAATTCAGAGAAATTTACATATCAATGAAGATATGATCAATTGATTTAATAAACATGCCTGCATTTCTCTTGGTCTGACAGAACATCACCAAATTTCAGATAGAAATAAAGAACATATTCAAGACTTTATGAAATCATCCACATATTGCCTGTATGGTAGTTTTGTTTGAGGGAGTATCAAAGTCCACAAAACAGAGGTGAAAATTATTTCTTCAAATTTGCTCCAAAATAAAATTGAAAAAAAAAGCAAAAATAAACTTTAAAAGAAAAATAATGGAATATGGAAAAGATATAAAAAGTTATCAGTGATTTACTCAATGTACTGTTCATATTGTAAAATAAGAAATTCTTGCATTGACAGAAACAAAGCTACCAAATGTTGGTCTAAGATGAGGATAATGGTAATATAATACATGAATTGGTATACTTCAAGACTAAGTATGACAAATTGTCACTCTGGCAAAAGTGTTTGCATTTTAGAATGTGAAAAACACTTGGCATAGTCATATGCCTTTTAAAAACTGAAAGGATTATAACAGCTCTTTACCAAGTGTGTATAAAAAAAAAAAAAAATTAGGTTTAAAAATGGACAGAAATAAAACAATTTTCAGTTGAGAAAATGAAAACTCAGAAAAAAATGCAGGAATACATGTTAAAGATGAAAAAATGGTGTATAATGAATGTATGTCTATATATATTTAATGTAGGTGCACAAAGCTTGAAAATAAAAATTGCTTGTAAAATGACCAATGGAAATAATAACATAAGACAAAATGTAAAAGAGAAAAGAATCCATAGGAAACAAAGAAAATTATCACAGAATTGTCAAAAATAGGTGGCAGAAGGAATAGATGGAGCAATAGGCTGATTGAATACTGACCCGTGAATAACATGTTGTAGAAAGCTAAAAAGAAACTATAAAAGACAGATAGGAATTGTGAATCTGGAATGGTAGAGAATAGTGTGGAGGTATATAGCAAATCACACCAAAAGTATGGAAAATAAGTAAAACAGCATTAGCTTAAAATAATAAATCCAAAAACTGTAAACATTATATGGCTGAGAAAAGCTATAATTATCTTCCCAAGCAACAAATTATTAAAACTAAGTCAAAATACAGGAACAAAAACCAATTTTTATGTTACTTAAAAATTGAAAACAAATAGCATGTAAAATACCACTATGAAAATCTATGCAAATAAATACAATGCTGAAAATGTAAAATACTTTAAACAAAGCAAATAAGATAACCAAATCCCCACCCCAAAAAAATAAACAAATTAAGCAAATAATAAAAAAAATTAACCAACAACAAATGCACACAAATAAATGTAATAATAAAAAGAAAATAAATGTAATAAATAATGAGTCAAAAGTTAAGAAGCAATGCTATAAAATAGTTATGAATAACTACATTTGGATTCACATGTATTCCTATTCAATTGCCTCTCGAATAATTTTAAACTTTTTTTTTTTAACTTTGTCATATATATATATATATATATATATATATATATATATATATAAAAAAAAAAGACATTTTAACTCTTTCTGAATATTTAAATGTGTTCGTAATAGACTCTAGCACCAGACATTTGAAGTCTAAGATTAATGTTTATTTTGTAGCATATAAGATATCTGTGATAACTCAATGGATTTATCTGACTTTGATAAGCAGTAGTATGTGAAATTCTGGAGTGTGCCAAAAGGCAATGAACTTTTTATTAATTAGATTATATATATATATATATATATATATATATAAAATTTTTTTTTTTTCTCTCTCTCTCTCACTCACACACACACACAAGTTTCAATTTTCTCAAGATTAAATGTACAGGTGATCTAGCTGGATTACAGCAAATGATCACAAGACAATGGTCTTCTGCAAAGAAGTGGCAATCTTTTCACTTGGCAACTTTATTTTTTGTTTTTCATTTAGAATCTTATTTCCGTCATTTATACCTGATCACTCTGCTATGAAAAGCTGTAATGTGATTCTTAAGGCCAGCTTCAATTTTAGAACCTTTCTGACATGCATGACAAACAAAGTTTGTGTTACCTATGTTGGAAACTTGCCTTTCCCTGTGTGCAATCATGGGATATTTGAGTCCCGTAACAGACTTACAAACTTTGTCACAAAATTCGCACAAGTCTTTCTGGTAGGGTTGCATTCATAGAAGTTTGCACCTCTTTAGTGTGATCTCGTGTGACTGGCTAAACTAGCCAGCAAAAGGCCAACTTTTCCACAAATATGGCAAATGTGTTTGTGTCCTAATATTTCTATAAGAGATTCTATTTCTCCCTTAGCAATGGCGTCCTTTTATATATAAGGATTAATACATGCAGATTCATTTTATACTACTAGTGACTAGTAGTATACAGACTCAATGTTGGTTTTCCAGTTTTAGAATAAGCTTTTTAATTGTGTTCTCATATTATATTTTCACAAAAATATATTACTCATTCTTAATGACTAAAGCATCCTCTTTGTTAATTTTAAATCAATCTCCTTCAGAAACATTAAAACATTTTTAAACATTATATATCCCTCATCTTGATCATGAAAAAAGAAGAGATGATGAATTTACTTTTTTTTTTTTTTTTTTGCTTTGTCATAATGTTTCTCAAACTGTTGTCAACATTAACAGAGAATTGGGTGTGAAGGATCCACTTTGTGATCAGATAGGTGTCGGTTTCTGAAGTTCTGCACTGAGAATATGAGTCTTGAAGTTCCAGGTGGTAGATGATACTTGTCGGCAATTAACAATTGACATCTGAAAATACTAGTCAAACACAACCTGCATCAAAGAAATGTCTCAGATATTGTGTGTCAGCATTTCGCCAATATCAGAAACTTGGCAAGGAGAAGGAACTTGATAAATGGGTTCCACATTTAACTCAGTGAAAGTCAGTTTGACATTTTGAAGTTCATTGCTGCATCTGCAAAATTTGAATGTTCCATTTTTTCATTGAATAGAAATTTGTGATGAGAAATGAATCCTTTATGACAATTGTAAATGATTGAGTCAATGATTTGATCATGACAAATGACCCAACACTTTTCAAAAGTTGC